TTATCATATTCGAACAAGTTTTTCCTGAAGTCTTGTTTCTGCATAAAAACAACTCATAAAAAAGGAGGATGATAGGTATATACACAAGCTTTATGAGAGAATAAAGGTTGCTGTTGAGAGTAAATCCCACATTGAAAAATTGAGAGACCTTGAATTGTATGTACTTATAAGTAAATGGAGTTACTCCCCATATTGCCAATTAGTTTTGTAGTGGAACTTCAACTTTCTTCATGGTATCAAACATATTGTCTTGAGTATGAAGCCCAACTGCCACATATGTTCCACATCACTTAATTTGTGTTGTCCATGTATTAGGCTTGAAACTTTGTCACATGTGAGGGTGTGAATGAATCCCACATCAAGGAAAGGAGAGACCTTGCTTGTGCTTATAAAAGAATGAGTTACTTTCCATATTGCCAATTAGTTTTATGGTGGAACCTCATCTTTCTTCAATTACACACTTTCTTATGACATATATTTATATGTAGAAATGTAAAGGTTGCATTTATATTTACCATACTTTTCTGATACATGTACAAATCAAAATAATGATAATATTAATAAGACAAGGACGTATGCAAATATGAGCAGATTTGGTTCGTTGTGAAATCTTTAATCCCAATACGAACGAAGCATGGGAATTCACCGATTTATGAAATTTTTTGCCATCTCTTGATTTTCTAATTTGCGGTGAATAAGTTATGTGTGGGTGTGTTCTCACAACATGTGGTACCATCAACCATCTATAGCATTTAACTTGAAAAATTGTTTTCACACACCTTTTTTTAATTTCTCACATATTTCTCGTTCTTTCTGGCCATCAAATTGAATAAGTCAAATGGAATCAATGGCAAGGATTAAAAAAGGGTGTGTAAGAGGCTAACTTGAGTGTGTTTATCATTTCCATTTAACTTTACTAGTTACTAATTTCACAAACCATGACATTGAATATCTTCACAATAAAACTGTGCCTCTAATTAACGGAAAGAATGTATATGGCACGTGTACACCGTTATAGTGATTTTTGCTAATGAAAAAAAAACGTGTAAAGTTTTGTTCACGTCATTATTTTATTAATACGAGACGTGACGTGACGTGATAGTATACCCATGTTATGTAAGTTATTTTCCTAATTAACCTAATAAGTTGGTTGCAAGGAAATAGAATTGTCGTGTACTGAAATATTGATACATGCATGATATCTACTAGGAAAATGCCAGGGAGACTATTTTTTTAGACTATTATTTGAAAACCATATAATGTTGTGGCTGCTTCTTTGCGTTAAAAAGCTTGATTCTCTTTCTTCAAATATCCTTTTTATAGAGTCAAGTCAGACATTCACATATTCTTCTACTAAATACCCAGAATCCTACCTCTATCTCGTCATTCGCTAGACTCTATATATGATACTAATATTTCTATCAAACATAAGTTCTATTACAGTGCGTAATTTGATTTACAGATTAATCAATTCCCTAAATCAAACGAAAGTTCACATAAAACTATAGCTACTTCATGTGTAATATTGGATCGTATAGTATGGAATTTGAACCCATGTGAAAACAAAGAAGAAAGAGGTCATTTGTCTAACCTAATTAAGAAACCATATGGCCCCATTATCAGTCTAATTCACGAGCTGCCAACTTCAACATTGCCTTTGGTCAATGCAAATGCTGCCCTAGCTCTGTTGAATTAGGTCAAGCTCAATCTTTACTAAAGATTCTAATAACTGAACTTGTTTTTCTACGAGTTTGGTAAAGCATTCAATATTTGGGTCTTTCAAAGTTCGATTAGGGTTGTTTTTGGAGATAATGGGAGCAAAGAGTTGCGTGTGACTCACTTAAAAATGTTGTCAAAAGCACATTTACATCAATGGTTATACAGATTTACCTAAAAAATTTAAACAAATTAATTTCAAGAAGTTTGCTATTGTAATTGTTGATGAGGCCGTCTAATTCTCTAGAAAGAATGAATTGAACCTTCTAATTGTTTATTATACTATTTTTACTATTAGAAAACTAGAACCCCATACTGGGGTCACAAGGCTTCACAACCATTGGCATAGTATGTTTAGTGGAAATTCAAAAGTAACTACATATATTTCTGTGTTCTTCGCAGCAAAACGTCATATACAAAGATATTCTCAAAGTACTTTACAGATTTACCAAAGGTATAAAGGTATGAATTTACTTTAGAAATGTATAATGTTGTTGCAGAAGTACGTGTAACGCAAATTGTGGACTTGGCAGGCCAAAGGATATGGAATTTAAGAAAAAGCTTCAGCAACCATTTGAGTTCATGATTGGTCTGCAACGTTTTCAATTATAATATGCTGTAAGCTTTCTGTATAGTGCCAAGATGAAAAAATGACCAAGAAAGAGGCGTTGGCATTCAATTTTAAAGCTTTTCCTCAACATGACAGCACTAGTAAATCCCATTACCTTTTTTGGCTAAAAGAATGCAAGTATATCTAAAATTGATTAAGATGGTTTTTCTTGGACCACAGTGCAAGACTTCTCATTACCTTCTTTTTATGCAGAAGTTCGTTTCTCTTGAGTTGATAGCAGGTGGAATCTTAGATAGGATAAATAATATAAAAAAAAAGATTGAACTTCGCTGTGAACATATCAGTAGCAGCTGCTGCTTACGACCAATCACGGCTGGACACGTATTCAAGTTTTGATTATTCAAAACATGAATACGTGTCCAGCCGTGATTGGTCGTAAGCAGCTGCTGATGCTGATCTTTCAGCCACCAAGTCTAATTAAAAAAAAATCCAATTACCAAATTCTTATTGGCTTTGTATTGACGGATTTCAAAGACCCAATTACCAAATTCTTATTGGCTATGTACTGACGGATTTCTTAGACCTAAACTTTTATTCGGACAGCAAAATATTTGGCCCATAGGCCAAATGAGTTTGGTCCATTATATAGATTGTATATTTTGATCCCTAAAGAAGCCCTCCTCAAACCCTGCGTACCATTTTTTTACCTAGTACCAGTGAAAATAGAATGAATATTTTGGATATACCGGTAGAATTTGGATTGGAATGTGCTTGATTAATTGTGAGACCGTTTACAAGCAAATATGTATTTGGGAATTTCTAATAGTAGTTTAGGTAAAAGAGATATTTGGCTAAAATGATACTTAAGCATAAAATATATATTTTGAGCCGTACAACTAAAATGAAAAAATAAAATAAAATAACAAGAAGATACAGGTGACTAGAAATCGGAAAGAAAATAGATTAATACAAGAGCAGGGAGCAATAACCATCTTTGGTTTATGGACTACGGACTACTAAGGTCACATTTGAGATCTCTAAGAATAGAAGAAAGGCGTGATAGCTTACTTACTTAGTGATTGCCTCCAATAAGCTAAACATGCATACGTACATACTGCTTTGAGGGTTTCTTAGAATTGAAATCTACCCGATCAACTCACATATAATGTAATATATGTATAACTGAATGTTTGTTCCCTCTCCATACTCAAGGCCGAACTTGATTACAACAACTCACATGCACGATCATGAAAAAACGTCAAAACCCTACGAACATCGAAAAGGAAAAGAGAAAGGAAAAGGAAAAGAAAACCTTGTACATATTTGGTTCGGCAATTGCCATTTTCAGATCCTTTGATCACCAAACGCCAAAAGGGAAACGTTTTCTAAGAGTACTACTACTGCATAATTATATATTTTGAACGTGTTTTAATCATTCTAATTTATTCAACTTTCTTCATTATGTTCTTTTGAATATTGGCAGTTGAAATTGCATATGAACATCGTGGAGCGTTCTATACCGTTCTTTCTTGGCTTTTCGTTCTTGGGATAATCAACAACTTGACCTACCAAAAGAGATTATATTACGGATAATCAACAATTTAATCACCTTTCAAGTACGTTGCTAAAGAAACCCTCCATTATAACAACCAACACGATTAGATATGTGGGCCTTCAAAGTAAATACAAAGTAATCTAAACATTTATGTACTGATTGAATTGGATTAATCCAATTTCTAGCAATATATGAACTATATATATTAGATACAGACGGAGGAATAATTCCGGAACGAACTTTTAAGATCAGTCAGTACCACTCATAAATTGATGCTTTATACATGTCAAATATATGCACTTATCAATGGAGAATCAAACGTGATATCTAGGTACGTACATAATTATTCAGAAGAATTAAATACATGAGAAGAAGTTTCTTTTTACTAATACACGAGAAATTCAGAAACTACTAGCTAGCTAGGTTGCTTGAGGTAAATTAGCTAAAGATTTAGCTAATATAGTTTGTCTATATACCCTTTTTATAATTCAAAAACTAAAGATTTAGCTAAACTGGTATCATTTTTTTTCACCGCTCCATCACCATGTAATGCACATACACCATAGCTGCTAGCTGTTGTTTTCTTTTGATCTGCACAGACTTACTTTCAAAGAAAAGTACGATATTTTTATATGGGCATTACAAATACATATCATGAATAACTTGGTTTCTAAAGGGTCTTTGCACACAAGATCTAAAAATATTAAATAAAGCATCACTAATCGCAAAGCAATGAGTAAACTTTAAGCACTCGTCCAACCTCATCGGAAACCATAGGATTACACATATCAATAAAACAGTTAAACCTCATTAGACGGACTTCAAGCATTCGTCCCAACTCATAGAAAACCGCTGGATTACACATATCAATAAAACAGTTAAACCTTGTGTTACACGAGATCATGTGAGAACAAAATTTCAAATCATATTGGGACAAGAGTACAATGCCCAAGGGTCGACCACATCACCCATCACCACCACATTCCTAGAACACCAAGTGAAGTAGATCCAGCAAATCAAACAACTCTATCCTTCACACATAGATCCAACAGAGGTAGCACACCAAAACGAAAATCAAAATCAAGCAACTCTCTTATAGAGAGCAATCAAACAAGCAAACTCTCCTAGATAGAGAAATCAAACCAAACTTCGAGACAATTCGTGGAAATTATTATACATAAACAGATAAAAAGATAAAATCAGGTTGTCACTCCACATTCTTTGGACATCTGAAAGCCATATCACTGCACCAGCTAAATTCATAGTGTCGATCTGACTAAACTAACATCTTCCGACATAAACTGACATATTTCACGACTTCCTGCTTCAACACTATATCAAGGGTGATAACTGGATCCAAACCTTGCGTTTACTCTATGTGTGGGCAAATGACGACTATAACGGCAATTGCAGCGTTTCACATCGATTCTACACCAAACAAAATAAAAGGAAAAGGAGAGGAAAAATGCTAAGAATGATTTTGAAGAAGATAGCCCTCGACCCCAAAACCAAAGTAGGAGCCTGCGGCGGAGAATTTTTCTTTAATTTTTGCTCTGGACGGCTAAATGAAGAGTATCTGCACACACTTAAATCAACTAGGAAAATACAATACCTTTTAACCTTCCATCCATACATATATAATAGACTGTCTAGGCATATATTTCCGTAATCTCTCAACCCAGAAAAAACTAAAACAACAATATCTCTCAAACCACACACTTAATAATAATAATTATTATATATAGCTGCTTAATTATTTTAATTAAGCACCATTTGAAGAAGGCGAAAAGCACTCGGAGACGGTCTCTACTTCTCTTCTGTGGAAATTCCTGTGGCAGCCACAGGCGGCACAGGTGAGCGCAGCAGTTGTTCCCTCCTCCCCATTACTTGCCATGAACTCTCTGCACCCGTCAACAGCGTAGCCTCCTACCGCGGCGGCATGGTTCTTCTGGCACTCTCCATATCTCACGACGGTGAAAGATGAAGCTGCTGAAGCTTCTTCTGTCCTTCTCAAAACTACTAGCCGCTTCCTCATTTAAGTTTCTGATAAATTAGACACCTGTTTAAGATCTTGTTTATTAATTGCGTTTCTTGATTTCGCCGAACCCCCTTGACACTATGCTGAATTTACTGACTGATTTTTTGACTCAGAATCAAAGATGGCAAATTAGAAGTTCGGGGCGGTGAGTTGGTGATTGAGAGAGGGAAAGAGAGGGGAAACAAGTACTTATGGTTTTGTGGTGGTATGACCAAGCCCTAACCCTAGATATATGTTTATAGCATATTAGCACGTAATATTCTCTCTCTCTTCTTGCTTTAGTAGTCTTAACTATTGGTAGGCACAGTAATCCAGCTGTTTTTGTTTAATTACAAATTGTTTTATCTCATACCAGATATCACTAGACGAAAAATTAGTCGGTAATTATATTGTTTTATTTTTCTATTGACAGGAAGTGGGGGCATGATCCATGACCAACTTTTTACTATGTAACTATTAATGTTTTATCTCATTGTTTACTTGCTAGCTACTGGTAAACCCAAAATGTTCTTGGTGAACTGATGGTCCAACAACCTCAAAACTCATTATGAAATCTGATCTGTGTAAATAAGGAAAAAGCCTAGATGCTAAATATGTTGAGAAAGCTTTTTCTATATCAATCGTAACTCCGATTGGTTTAATATAGAATGACCAGCTAAGCAGAAATATTAAGACCTCATAAAACATAATATGCATGTACTGTGTGGACCCTAAAGTGCTACTAAAGGGATGGTTTTGTGGGGTGCAATGATACGATGCCAAAGGAAATTGTCTAGCTTAGCTTCATCAACGACCAAAAAATAGTTTAATTTCATCACCCTAAAACTCGATGGAAAATGATATATTGCCAACCCTGTACGGAAATGCAAATGCTACAATTCTAATTCTCTTCTTGTTATCTTGCTTGCATGGCATAAGGTAATAATTCAATTTCATGGTTTATGCATAATTAATAAATAAAAATAAAAGTTTGATGGTTAAGTTTATAGAAACAGAGAAGGCAATAGTTGGTGCCATGCAATATATCAATAATGATTTTGCAAAAGGATAATGCTTGGGAGATTAAATATTTGAACTAAATTTTGAAAATCAAATGTAGTTGTTCATGATTGGATTATTACTTAAGTGTTGATTAAGCATGCTTATTTCCTATTAGTAACAAATCACCTGGTTTGCAAATTTGATTTAAAATTTTGGTCTCACTAACATTATTAACATAATTATTTTCTATTGGTAACACATCATCTGATTTGCAAATTTAATTTAAAATTTTGATCTCCCTAGCATTATGTTTCCTAGAAATTATGTCACAGATTCATCCAATATCAAGCGCACATATATACAAAGTACACAATTTTGCCTTTCATTAATTACAAAAACAGATGATGATTCCAACCATATTTAAACCGATATGATATAATTTTGTCTGTGTAATTATAAACTAACACGAGCAAACATTACATAACCTACAGACTTCATATGCTTTTTATACGTGATTTTATTTTATTTTGTGCCAATTGTACCCGACAATTTTACACCTAAACAAAATGAATTCATGTGCTCTATAGAGCTAATTTGCACATGAATGCACAAGTGTCAGACGGATTTTTTGGTTAAAAAGTTAGAAAAGAAACTCCCTAACATGAAAATGTGTTAGCGGACACGTGGTTAGGTAATATGCTGGTATCTGATATCAATGGAGGACTACGCCAACTGTTTGCCATTTTTGGTCATTACGTGGCTTATAGTTTGATCCACATGCATGCATGCAGCTTTGCGTTTTTGCCAAAATTCAACTAAATATTAAGTCTGCCGAACATCTCAATCTCCCATGTCCTTGACGACATAAGGAGGCCAAGGATGACAATGTCCGTGAGGGGAAATTTAACCGTTGAAACCTTCATATATTAGTTTATATATGTGCTGCTATAAGTGATGTGGTACGTACATATGTATGTTGTGACTGAATTCACAATGCTAGCTGTAGTGGAAAAAATTGTGTTAAGAAAAAAATTGGATGGCATGCGTTCAAGGCGTTTGGATGGTTTTGGATTTTCTGTTGTGTTTGATTTTGAGTGACCTAATTCTCAAAACTCGAGAGCATCATTATTGCAAAAGGTTGTTGTGCTGTTAGAAGTGAAATCATTCAACATAATTTTTTAATGTAGAGTTGCATTCTTCAACACTGATTACATCTTAAGACTAGCCAAGCCTAGCCAACCAGTTCGTAATACCTTGACAAACTGACATTTTACATTCTTAATTAACTTAAATTTAATGGTAATTAATTCTTGCGTAAACTTATGCTATCGTATTTTTGAAATGGGAAAGGCCAAGATTTTGTGTCGTATGGCGCCAATAATGACATCAAAAGGGTTAAGGATGAGTACTCAATAAAATGTATCTTATGTGTAAATTGTCATTTGGGCTATTGGTTATATGAGTATGCGATAATACGAAGGGAATTGTTATTAGTTTTTCAAAAATCTCATTCTACAGTTATTTCTTTCTAATTATATAAAGTTTGGAGTGCAAAATGAGATTTTTGGAGTGCCAATAATAATTCTTTAATACAAATACATATTTTAACTTTTAAGAAAATATTACACAAAGTACTCCATCGCCCCTAACCGTCGTCACAAAAATTTTGCAACTGAGATCAGTTTGATTATTCATGATCAAATTGGAAGAGAATATATATATAATGTCTTGTAATACTCTGACGCTGGCGACCCAATGGTCTAGAAGAGACGGAAGATAGGTACGCTCAATGTCGTTAATCATGGATTAGTTCGACACAATCAAACCCAATGCTTAATTTGAAAAGGAGAAATCACTCATTTCAATTACACAAGGCAAATATATGTTTTTTTTTTCATTAATCAAGTCTCCACTTATAGGCATTCTAATACAATATTTAATAGACCCTTTTTTTCTATGGAACTCTTACCAACCTCTCCAAAGAAGACTTAACAAACACCTAATACTTCCCATACAATTGGTTATCATTTAATGGACTGCATCATTCTCCTGTTCTCCGATAAAACTCATCCTCGAGTTCCAATTGACTTTTTTTTCTTCTTCTTTTTTTCCTTGATCTTTTGGATGTCCAACCAAGATGTTCCACAGTACCCAATTTAGCACCAAAAAAATTTCAAATCACTTCTTTTCTTCTTGAAAATAATCACCTGGAATAATGATTCCAAATTCATATTCATGACTTGTTAAGGAGTAAAGATAATTCAAATCATGTTGAAAAGTTCTTTTATCAAAGAGCTCCTTTCATATCTCAAACAACAAAATTGTCCCAAAAAGGATAATGAATGCTACGGATATTAAGAATTTGTACTCTGTTATATAATTGTTCATGGAATTCTTCAACCACATCTTCATCGCCTTTGTAATAATCATAAATCGGGGCAAAATCTCATTCGGCAAAGTTATCAACTTCGTCGACGCATTCTATATGTTCCCCTTTCGTGCCAAACTCCATTTTGGAACGTTTTTCAACCTCTATACATGCAACACAATAAATCTCACATGAACTACAATAAAAACTAGAGGAAGATTAAGATTTAGAAAATTGTCACTTGAAAAATTAGAGGCAACCGTTTCTAGAACCCAGCCAACCTCATTTATTGACAGCAACAACATGCTTTAGTAAATTGAGGATATCGTTTTGTAGAAATAACGGATTGAGGAACCGCTTGAAAGTTTGGAAACTATATTGGAAGGGATTTCAAATGATATGTGGCATAAAGGTCAAGAAGTGCTTAATAAAATCAGAACCTGACCCGCAAGAGAACTGATTCGGTTTTTGCGACATCACTGATGCTCTCTGGTGTTTTACCGGTATCTGCACGCACAAAATTCCGTTTGATGCACGGTTTGTTGCGTTGAAAATTAGACTCTTGGAGCTTTCCGATGATATATAGCTCTCCAAATGAAAGTCACGGGAACTGAGTTGGTTTTGATGACGAACACACACATATGATGTGTGCAACACCTCCACCAGGATTTCAGATAAAAATCCTAAAACCCGCCTAGATAATACTTGACGCAGGGTGGACCGATGAATTTTGAGGACGAAGGATAGGTGACCTGGGATTCTTTGAACCAAGTTCAACAGATTCACTTGACATCGTTAATCGTGGATTCGCTTGACAGGACCAAGTCAAACGCTTGATTTGAGAAGGAGAAATCACTCACTTCACTTGCACAAGGCAAATATATGTTTTTTTCATTAATCAGTTCTAGGCATTCTAATACACTATTTAAAAGGCTTACAATATTTAATAGACCTCTAATTTCTATGGGACTCTTACAACCTCCAAAGAAGATTTAACAAACTCCTAAGTGACAACATTTCAATTTTGTTTTTTTTTTGAAAAAACGAATTATTTACACTATAGGGAGGGGATGGGTTTGATGAAATTGGAGTTCCATTATAAATTCAATTGGCAATATAAGGAGTAGCCCAAGACCATAAATCACATAGCAAACCTTGTTCCTCACCGATATGGGACAACTCTCAACAGGGTTTAGCCTCACAATGGACTAGCAATAGTGCGGTTCAAATTCGCCTTTGGCGAAAATCAAACCTAAAACCTCTCACTTACAAGTGAAGAGGAATATCACTAGATTGTAGTACTAAGTTATAACATTTCAAATTTCAAATTTAATTAAGCCTTATACTTCCCATACAATTGGCTGTCATTTAATGGACTTTGTTTTCTGCATCATACTGTTTCTTTGGTTCTTGACTTGATCTTGCTAGGTACAAGAAATCATGAGGTATAAGGAAGGGAAATCTAGAGACATAGAGAGATGGTTATAACAAGGATAAATATTTTGTAGATTGATGGGGTCTTTTTAAAAATATATATGATTGTGCTTTGAGAAGATAATGGAAGAAGAAGCCTTTTGCCTCTCACCAACCCAACCCAATATTTTTATGCCCACAGTAAAAGCCCTAGTTTGATAGTGTCTTTTGGGTCCTTAGGGTAAAAGCATCTTAGGCTCCTAATCACGTATTTCCTTTTTATCACACTGTATCGTACTCACGTAAATGGTGACGACAACTCACTAATCAAGTTGATCAATAATGCAAACTAAAATGGAAATTTTTAAACGAAAGTTGATTTTGATTGATGCAACTTGATCTAAGTATTTTCCCCCAGCAACTAAGTTATGATTCACAGCTGCTGGACCACAGAATACGTAGATCCAGAGTTTTGATCTATAACAACCAATGTGA